TCGAAAAGTCAGAAAAAACTTCTTATCAGAAGCTCAAACAAAAAACCACTAAGAAAATCCCAAGGTTCTGCAAATCTAAAAGCCCAAGAAAATCACCTCGCAGTATATGCAGCAAAAAGAACACTAAAATGATCAAAGATAAATTCTTTACTTTTCAAATAACTCAGAAGATGACTGTGAAGAAAAAAATTTAAACAGTAGAGTTTGAAAATTTAAAGCTGTTCTTTTTTCTTGAATTATGTATAAAGGAGTAAAGACAAATTTTTTGCTTATCAATATGAGCAAATCGGATAGGAGAAAAGCAATGCTACGTCAACAGAAAGCACCGGGTACGTAGGCTGACTTTGGAGGTAAACAAAGAAAAGTTGATGCAGATTTTCCAAAGAGTAAACATGGATGGGTTTTTCAGGATTTTTGGGAAAATTAAGGGTATGTTAGGTGATCCTCAATTTTCTATTCTCGAAAATACTGAGAACATGTTTACTTACTTATTTTTAGAAACAAATTTTCAAAAACGAGTTTAAAATTTACAAAGAAAACGGAAAACGTCAAAAAACTCGTTTTAGCTGTTTTCAGCTAAAACCAAACCAAAACTTCATTTTTTTATTTTTGAAAATAATTTTTCAAAACGACAAAAAGAACACGTTTTCAGCAATCTCAAAATGAACACTCAAAACACAAATCCCAAGATGAATTCAAAACTAAAAACTAAAATACGAAAAAAAAAAAAAAAAAAAAAAAACCCCTAAATAGTTTTCTTGTAACACAATTGTAATAACCTTCCATATTATCAAATTAATTAATAAAAGCAAATTAAATGACATGATGATTGACTTATCTAAAATAAACAACAAACTACAATGACTAAATTAAAATAAATTAAATTTGGTGGAAGAAAAAAAAAACTTCATTTGTTACCCCGTAATTACAATTTATACCCTATGAAAATATTCTCAATTATTGTCCGTTCCAAAATCTCTAAACAATTTTAAAATAAGGAGGGGTCCACAGAGCATTATAACAAACAACCATGCTACAAGTACAATTTTTTAACATCAAGTTTGACAATATGCCACGTGTTGAAGGTTGAGTGGCCAGTTTTTAAACATCACACACTTTCCAGTCCATTCGAATTTGTATTAATATAGATTGTCAAATTCCTTGTCAACCATAAATTGTACACAAAACATTATTCTATAACAAATCTACTAGTAACATCCAGACCCATAAAAAGGTGTGCTCCTCGATTACAAGTCAACAATTGTTCAAAGTAGGGTGTTTTTTTCTTCCCCTTTTTGAGTACATATTTCATTCCTTATTTATTTTTAAAAAATACATTTGATGAAGAGAATTTTCGGAAAATATGTTTAAAACAAAATTATAACTTTACATGAATAATTATCTTCTTGAGAATACAAGTGTTTGAAAATAAGTTTCGAAAAAAATGAACTTCGAAAAGTAGGAGCCAAGCATGAACTTAATTTACTTTTTTGCCTAAAAGAATTTATAATATAATTTATGACCTTTGCTAATTATTTGTTTTCTTGTGTAACTTTGGTAAAGAAGTACTATTTCTCATTATATATTTCGAGATTCTTTTTTCCAGGAATTTTAATTCACGCATTTACATAAGCACAATATTGTCTAAATATTTACACGAAAATTCACCTTTTTCTTAGAAGTTCAATTTATTGAACCAAATTAAAAAAAAAAAAAGGAAGAAGGGACCACATATATAAATATTAAAGTATTTATTTTTCTTATTCTGCCCCCGTTTTGACCACCTTATTTTCTCATTAAAATGAAAAATATGACCGTTATCCATCACATAAATATTTAAATTCAAATTTTAATTTTTTGTGTGAGCTTCAATAACGACTACTTTTTTTATTCTCATTCTTAAAAAAATGTGGCTCTAACAAGACCTCCGTCATTTCATGACACAAAAAGTCAAAGGTTAAAAGTAACAAAAAGAAAGAAAAGAGGAACATACATGTTACAACTTTTTTTTTTCTCTTTTGCCAATAGTTCAAAATTTGAATTTTAACAATAAAATTATATGTCGGTCTAATTTTATCGAAAAAAGAACGCTTTTTAATATATATGGAACAAACAGTGAGAGAACAAAAAATATTGAGTTTAATTTCAAAAAAAATATGTATTTTTTTGTATTTGGTAAATAAAAATATGATTTTTTTTCCCTGTTTGGAATGTTCAGGGACCTTCTCAATCAATAAAAAAATTGTGCGGATCCAGTTTGTCCACTTGTCGGAAGGGATTATCACAAGAAACCAAATTTGCCACCTAGATATTAAAAAAAATGTATGCTTTCAGAGTACGAGTATTAATAAAGTAGCCCTATTTGACATTTTAAACTCTTTTTGTTTTTTTTTTTTTGTTCTGTATACTTGTTTTTAATTATATATGTACACAATAAAATGTTATATACATAAATTCAAATTTTTTTTCTTACTTTATAATCCCACATTCTCTTAAAAATCACCGTTCAAAACTTTAT